CCCTCCCTAGTCTCCCGAATCCCCGAATCCTCCTCAATCCTCAAATTCCCAATTCTCAGAAGGCCGGTAACGCACTTGAAACTCCTTGGTGTTTTGGGTGTCCATGGGCGGCGCCGATTGCTTACCATTAGGTGATCCGTAGGCTCGTTTACCGGCTTATAAAAAAAACTTAAATTAATCTTTAACACTTCGGATTAACCTGCGGATTTCTGGAGTTTGAAAGATAAATGCAAACTTTTCCTTATTGCGTAAAAACGATGAAAAATCTGCGTCATTTATACTTATCTAATCCTATTCGGTACAAAAATATACAAAAAAAGTAAAGTTCAAATGTTTCGGACGACGATGTTTATTTGTGGACTGAATATATTATTCTGTGTTTCGACATTTACGTCGTACGTATCGCATCGTTATGCGATATACTTAAATAAGATTTTGTATTAATAACTGCGTTTGTACATAACTTATTACTATTATTATATTATATTTATAACGCTATTGCTTCTCTATTTTAAGTTACTTAAGTTAACACCGCATACAAAACTGGTTGCGAGTTCTTATGCAGACCTAGCGAATGAATATTTATACATTTTAAAATCTCATTTTTACACAATGTTAATTTAAAAATGTTTTTGAGTGCAGTGGGTCCCGAGGTGGACTCGGACACCTCTCTGAATGACTACATCCGCAACCATCTGAACCTGCGCGGCACCAAGTACATGTGCAAGGAGGGCGGCTGCGGTGCATGCGTCGTCGCTGTCACCGTCAACGACCCGCACCGCAGGACCTTCTCTGTCAACTCGGTGAGTACCAACCGAATTACACTACATATGATACAAACCCTTCTTTGTGTAATGCATTATAATTATCTATAATGTATGCGATGCTTGCGCTGAAAACTGCCGAGGCTGATGGCTTAGCGGGTTACCGGGGCTGAGGGCTCTGGTTCGAAGCAGGAGTAGGCACGGCGTAGTTTTTAGTCAATGAGAGTCTGACACTCCTTCTCTACTAACCTAAGGCAGAAGAAGACATTTAATAAGATAAATCAGCTACTTCGCGGGTCGCGAAATGCTGCTCATGAATATGAGCCTCTAGCACGGCTTGAAACTAGTCGAGTTCCTCGTCAAATTATTATGTGAGTAAGCCGAAAACATAATAATTTTTTTTTAATGTTTAGTTAAAAAAGTAAACATTTATTATGTATCTGATAGATTTTCATTGCAAATTGATAGACAGCTTTTTTTTTCATACCTTATCCATCATTTTATTTTTAAAGCTTTGAGTATTGATTTAGATAAAAGACCTCCTTTTATCGATGTACCTACATATTCTTTGGAATCCTTTAAAGCAAATAATGTGTATAAGGTTTAAAAATACTCCAAATTAGTGACGTAGTTTACAAGTCACGATATGTACGGTATGTATGTATTACCTGTATAAGTACATATCGAGGGGTAACGGGCTATTTGGTTTAAGCGACATTTTTGCAACTTTACAGGAGAGCCTTTTAAAGTTTGAAATTTCGAAAAAAAATTCGTAACAAAAACGCTTCTGCAGTTATTTGAACGGGGTAAATTGCATTGAAATTTAAATTAAATTATCTAGTTGCTGATGTTAATTCTAATTAAAACGGACCTTTAATTACAAAGATAAATGTCGCTTAATACAATCTGCCCTTTTTTAGAATCAGGAAAAATGATTTAAGTGACTTCATAACTACAATTGGCTACAAGGGAAAAAAATTAAGCGACGATGCACTCTATTTACAGAGTAAGGTAAAAAATATGAAGTGACGAAACCCAAAATTAATAGAAGCAAGCTATTTATCTTAACTACCAATTCAGTCTAAAATGAGTGACAGGCTAATTTACTTATGTGACATATACCATTGAAATTATAACGTTTAATGTTTATGTTTATTTACATCTAAGGCGATTAATGGCTGATAAAACAATCTGGATATATCGCAATCACCGAAAATCTCAGATGCTTACATTGAATAAATAAACACAACACAATATCAAAGTATTCATTTATAGTAATAATTACAGTTTCATTAGGAATATCGATTATATTTCAGCAAAATCAATTAAATTAATGGGTCATTTACTGAATTTGCCGTTTTGTATGAAAAAATTTAAACGATTTTTTCATGTATTTTTTATTTGTATAATCAACGTAATCACCCATGCAATCAATGCATCTTTGCCAACGCAGTGGCAGTTTATTGATGCCCTTCTTCAATCAGCTGGACGGGTAGCAACAAATTCTTCAAATGAATTTTGTACTGCCTCTCGATTATTAAATTTTTCCCCGCCAAGAAGTTATCCAAATTCTGGAAAAAGAAGTAGTCTGGTGACTGGTGAGCAGGGTGGATGTCGGAGACCTTCACAACACCAGTTCTTGTAACGTGGAGGCCGTCTGTTGTGCAGCTTTAGGTCGCGCGTTGTAATGCAGGAGCAATGGAGATTAGCGATTGACCAATGCTGGTTGGAGATGTGTCAGCTTCTCCATCATTGTGTTCAGTTCTTCACACTACACATCCGTAGTAATGCTCACTCCGTTTGGTAAGAATTTGTGATGAATCAGAATAGCGCGAGCGCTAGACCATCAGTGACCATCACTTTTCTAGGGGTAAGTTTTCGTTTAGGGCATTGTTTAGGTGCTGAACTAGGATTCAACCAACATGCTAAACGCGTGTGGTTATCACACAGATTTCATTTTTCATCGGAGGTGACAATGCAAATCAAAATTTTTTCATTGTGTGTATATTGAGCAGTGCAGTGCAAGGCACTACTCGATGCATTTTTTTAAGGGTGGAAAATCATCGAATGACTGCTCCCGCCTGGGTGAAGCGGGAAAGAGTGTCAGACTCTTACTGACAAAAAATCACCCCGTTTCTTCTCCTACACGTCGAGCCGGAGCCCCGGTTACCCGTTAGGTTCTCCGCGACTCCGAATCGGCATCGACCCTGTTGGGCCCCATCTGTAGTGGTCTGATGGCTCTTTGTGGCGCGCGCGGAACGCGACGCCCCGTACGCTCGGGTCTGTTTCTGGTCGGACGGGGAGCCACCCATGCTCACCGTCCGCAGGCCCGCGCTTACGGTAACTGGAGATCGTCCCGCGATCCCCGACGCCAGGTGTGTCCTTCGCGATGGCTGGGTTGCGAGGAGCCAGCGCTGCGCTGCCTCACGCGTCCCGCCTCCTCCTTAGCTAGCATACCTGCTTCGCAAAAGGAGGAGACGGCATCCCAGTCCCCCTCGCACTGCTCGATGCATACTTGGCTCTGTTGATCATTTAGTTTGTGGGACACCCACTTATCAAGCTTTTTTACCTTGCCAATTTGACCCAAATGTATCAATATTGTTTTGACGCTAACGTCGAAAGCTGTTGCTAAATCAGCCGTAGATTGTAGGTATGTCATCAACCTCCACAATAGCCCTTAAATTGTCATTGTTGCCAAAGTCTTCGAACGACCGCGAGGTTCATCTTGAAATTAAAGTACTTAGGATTCAATTTCGATGAGCGTTTTACGTAAACACTGGCGGTGTGCGCGCGTCCCGTCTGTCTTCGGCGGACTCTGGAGTGACTGAAGCGCCAGCGCACGATAGTCCAGTTGGATGATAACGATTTTTAACACCAGGGCGATGAAATAAATATGGTATCATATGACATGATTGAAATGTACCATATTAAAACTTAGTGATTGAAAGACCGACTCGTATTTCTATGAATACTGGAAAAATGTTTCAATATTCATTATCAATGTTATCGTCTGTATAAAACGACATGCATTTAAAAAAAAAATGAGGGTTAAATGGTTTATGACTAAACAAAATATCTGAACGAAAACAACTATTTGGTTTAAGTAGCACCCTGCGTAGAAAATAGAGGCAGCTAGAAATGTTTAAGAGACGTACCATGACGCATTTGGATGACGGACAAATGTTTTAAGCGACATCACACCGTGTGATTAGTGGGAAGTCAAAATGATTCAAGTTACTTGTTAATAAAAATTAGAAACAAGAAAAACGCTTTAACTCATGTTGACTTAATAATTAGAGATAGGGTGACTGGTTTATGTCTCGGTTATTAATATGATGGTATGGTTCAAGTACATAATTTAATAAAAAATGCGAAATCCATGTCGTTTAATACACTGCCACTTTGGAAACAACATAAAAATAGAATTGTTTGAAACGCCAAAAAAGTGCTCCGATTTTAATGAAACCGGCATCATTCGACGGAGAAAAATTCGCTGATTCCGAATATATATATAACTCAATATCGCCCAAAATGTCGCTTAAACCAAATAGCCCGTTACCCCTCGATATTATTATAATAAGTAGGTACTCAAATAATGTGTGCTTTGAATCGACTTTTAGCAAATTTTATCAAATCAATAATTATTAATTTATCCTCAAACGTGGTTTTTCGATAAGGATTTCGAAGTTTGTTTCTGTATTTTTAGTTTAATTTCCTCATCTTCGGGTATTCCCTACATTTAAAATTAAAATTACAAGATAAAGCAAGTAGGCTAAAAAGAAATCACTGTTTATGTGTATGGGGAAAATATTTATGACGTCTTGTGTTTAATCCTGGTAGGGCTTGTAAGGACATATTGTTACACCTTGGGTGTCTTTTTGGATGTGGGTGCAAAATGTAGGTATACGCGCAGTATACATAGTCAGAGGTGAGCCTAAGTAATGTAACACGTATAGTTTTCACCTGTTATGTCAACCTACTGCAATATACTAGACATAATTTCGGACTCTGTGTAACTCAAAAATATCAATAAATCTAACACCGACCGTAGAAACGAACCACTTGCTCGTCATCGTCTCTCATACTTGCAACCGTCCAAACAACGAGATAATCCAATTAAAAATAATCACTTTTTCGTCTATTCCGAATAATTCATGAAAATGAAACTCGTTAGTTTGTAAATTAAAAGAAACAAGTTTATAATCACTAACAATACAATCATATAAACGCACAACAATGTTGCAACATTACCTGCAATTATACAGTAATCAATTCCATACACGTAATGTTTTATAATTGCAGCGACTAACAACTCTTGCCTTTAATCATATAAGAAGTTTAATAGTCCCAGTCCTATTTTAAAATAAAAATAAGAGAATTTTATCATCTCTTGTTCAATATTCATATTCATTCATATCATGAATTCAAAAATATCATGTTCTAATTGTAGAAAGGAACATCACACCACCTCGCTCCGCTCACATTGGCAATCATCAATGTGTTTTGTGAATGAATAATATTATTCTCAGTGTCTAGTCTCAGTGACATCATGTCAAGACTGGGAGATCACTACAATAGAGGGGATCGGCAACCGAGCGCGAGGGTACCACCCCGTGCAGAAGACCCTGGCTGAGTACAACGGCACCCAGTGCGGGTACTGCAGCCCAGGTTTTGTCATGAGCATGTACAGGTCAGTGTCTGTTTCAGTTTGTGCACTTAATACCTAATATTAAATGACATTACAACAATGATATCTTTTTCAATAGCCTCCTAGAAGCAAACGGGTACGACTTAACTCAGTATGAAATTGAAAACTCTTTCGGAAGCAACACCTGTAGATGTACCGGCAGCAGACCCATACTCGACGCCTTCAAAAGCTTCGCCAAGGACGCTCCCAAACCTCCTCCGAAAATTGAAGACATTGAAGATCTAAAGATTTGCCAAGGAAAGGGTGACTGTAAGGGATGTCAAAAAGATAAGAACTGGTGTATTGTCAGCCAGAGCGATGTTGACCCTCCTCGGATTAAGAAAATCAATCTGAAAGACGGTCACGTGTGGTACAGAGTGAATGAGATTGCCGATATATTCACTGTGTTGGATGCCGAGGGCTACGAGTCTTACATGCTGGTCAACGGAAATACTGGTCGAGGTGAGAGTATTGACATAGTAAATATCTTACACTATCAAACAAAACAAGTGAATACCAATTTCTTTCTGCAGGTGCTGTTCCAGTTCTGGTGCACCCGAGAGTGTTAATAGACATCCAGCCAATAAAGGAACTCAAAGGATATTATTTAGATCAGAACCTGGTCGTCGGCGCTGGTATAACTCTGACAGATCTAATGGAACTGTTCAAGAACGTCTCGAAAGCTCACGAGGAGTTTCAGTATTTGTTCAAACTTTACGAACATTTAGATTTGGTCGCCCACATTCCTGTGAGAAATGTAAGTATGGTATCGTGTTCAGTGTAACAAAACAATAATTATTTTGAACGTTGAGTGGTCACCCTTTTGTTTCCAGATTGGTACTGTGGCAGGAAATCTTATGACTAAATATCGTCTAAATGCTTTCTCTTCAGATATATTTTTATTATTGGAAACTATTGGAGCTACTTTAGTTATAGGTGAGCATCGAAAAATTAAAGGGTGCAGTTTAATACTTTTCTTTTTACTGAGTCTTATCCTTTACGTATTTTAGTGGGGAAAGGACCATTAATGGAAGTAACTCCAGAACAATTTCTTTCAATAGACATGACAGGACGAGTGATAGCTCATGTTAAGATACCACCGCGTTCTCATAGATACCAGTTTGTGTCTTTTAAGGTAGGTTAACTCCATTGTAAACATAGTTTATTTCACAAGGCTTGATTATATTTTGAAGAAGTTAAAAATGGACATAATTTTAGATCATGCCTCGTGCACAAAACGCGCATGCTCAAGTGAACGCAGCCTTCCTATATGAATTCGATGAGCACCAGAAGGATGTAGTCCTATCAGCTAGGATTGTGATTGGTGGACTGTCGGGAAAGTTCGTTCATGCTACTGAAACCGAGAAGTTCCTTCACATGAAGAAGATATTCACTAATGAAGTGCTGCAGCAAGCACTGAAGATACTGGAAGGCGAATTGATAGTCGAGGAGATTGCAGGCGAGATGAAACCTGCGTATAGAAAGAAATGTGCCCTCGGCCTGTTTTATAAAGTAAGTCTCTGAATTAAGTTGACACCAGTTTGTTTGATTGAAGTCATTAATTAGTAGATAACATTTTACTTTTTAGAGTCTACTAGTACTTATTCCGAAACAACGTCTTAAACCTTGGTATCGTTCAGGAGCGAGAGACTTTAGAAAGACTAGACCACTGTCTAAAGGCTCTGAGGTCTACGACACAAATCCCATAATATGGCCAGTCAACGAACCGATGCCAAAGGTTGATGCATTGGTACAATGTGCAGGAGAAGCGCAGTACTGTAATGACTTGCCAACACAACCCAAGGAAGTATTCTGTGCTTTTGTGACGTCAGATATTGGAACAGGAGAGATTGAGAGCATCGATGCTACTCCAGCCCTGGTGAGTATGAAGACATTGGTACTTTTTAATCTAAAAAGGATAATTTTCTGATTTACTATTTTTCAAAATATTTTTACAGAAAATACCCGGCGTATTAGCGTTCTTCTCAGCCAAGGACATTCCTGGCAAAAATTCATTCTTGTCGCAAAGAGTACCTGCTCAGTTATTCCCTGAAGAAGTTTTCGCCGAAAAAACCATTAAGTACTACGACCAACCAATAGGAGTGATCGTTGCAGAAACTGAAAGATTAGCCTACAGGGCTGCTTTATTGGTTAAAGTTAGTTATAAACTTGATAAAAAGAAACCAATCTTAACCATAAAGGACGCTAGAGAGAGAGAACCGAGTCGAGTAACTTTATTTGCAGTATTCCCAGCCAGAGACCGAGGCATAAACGTGCAACGAATTCTTAAAGGCACTGACGATATTTTTGCGCAGTATATGTACACAATGGAAACCCAAACTACAGTCAGCAGGCCGAGTGAAGATGGTATTGATGTGTACGCTAGTACGCAATGGATGGATTCTTACCAAGTCGCACTCTCTGAAGTACTCAATATTCCACAAAATAGGTAAAACCAACAGAATATTGTTTAGGGAAATTTATTCTACAATTTGTCATCCGTTTTTTATTTGTATTGTTTTAGGATAAACATAACTGTTCCTCGATGTGGTGGTGCGTATGGGGTAAAGATAACTCGCGCGAACCACAACGGTGCTGCTTGCGCTCTGGTCACCCACCTCATGGACCGACCGTGTCGCTTTGTGATGAGTATGCAGTCTAATTTAAGAGTTGTTGGTAAACGACTTCCTTGTACTCGAGACTTTGAAGTAAGTTGTATTTTTAAAGGCAATATTAATTTACATACATAACATACATAACTTCACGTCTGTCTCCCATGGGTGTAGGCAGAGACTAGGGAACGCCAATTACTACGATTCCCACATACCTCTTTCGTTTCATCAACAGTCATCAATCTTTTCATGCATGCTCGTCGGTTAAGGATACTTTTAATTTGGCCCTTCTTTAATATATCGCCAATGTTAGTCAGTCAGTCAGTCTGGTCACTACATGTCCGTTTAGGATGCCCTCTACCGACGGCTCCATTCATATTTGCTCTGTATATATTAATTTTAATTTTCATAACAAAATTATGTGTTAGAGTTTATTCGTGTAATATTATCTTGTTACAGGTTGGCGTCAGCAGTTCTGGAGAGATTCAATATCTGGAGTATCAACTGTTCGGTGACAATGGGTATATTGTCAGTGATCCTATTGGTACTGCCCAGTTCACTGGAGTTAGAAATTGTTATGACAATAGACGATGGCAGTTTAAGATATTCAACGTTACCACAGACATAGCCTCCAATACGTTCACGAGATCACCCGGTAACTATTTATTAAGTTTCTTTCAATTAAGTTTTAAATCTTTTTATTCCAGTCCTGTACACGTTAATGTTCATAAATTAACTATTGAAAATCATTATATAAATTGGTTCGAGGTATTAAGAAAATAAATGCTATGAAGTCAACAATATTATATTTCAATTTGTATATTCCAGGAACTTTGGAAGCAATAGCAATGACAGAACAAATAATGGAAAGAATATCGTACGATTTAGATCGTGACCCTGCACAGGTAAGATTGAACAACATCGAGCCGACCTATGTCGAAGTACAGGAGATGGTACAGACGCTACTCAGAGATGGCGAATACAACAAACGTAAAGAAGAAGTACAGAATTACAATAAAGTGAACAGGTGGAAGAAACGTGGTCTAAGAGTGGCTTTCATGAATTGGCCTGCTCCTACATTAATTGACTATAATGTACTACTCTCCGTCTACCATGCTGATGCAACAGTAGTTATACATCACGGGGGCATAGAAATGGGACAAGGGATCAACACAAAAGTCATTCAAGCTGTGGCTTACACACTCAAAATTCCAATTGAAAAAATCAAATGTAAGCCTGCAACAGCTTCAACAAATCCTAATACTTTTGCTACTGGAGGTAGTAGAACAACACAAGCTGTCTGTTTTGCCGCTATAAAATGCTGCCAGATTATTCTGGACCGTTTGTCAGCTGTACGAGACACTTTGAATGATCCTACTTGGGAAATCTTAGTTGAAGCAGCTTACATTAGAGGAATAAATCTCCAGACCAGCTATCGAGTCACTGCTAATGATCAGGTACCATATAGAGCAGGAGGGGTGGCCCTGGCTGAGGTAGAACTTGATATACTGACCGGAGAGCACGAAATACTAAGAGTTGATATTATTGAAGATGTCGGTACTAGCATCAACCCAGAACTGGATATTGGACAGGTAAAATCCTTGTTTGAAGTTATACTATGTATCATAATGTTATATTCGATGAGTGGACTGGAGTTTGAGAATAAATTAAAACCATAAATCTAACCATATGTCTAGATCGAAGGAGCTTTTATGATGGGAGTCGGCTACTGGACCCACGAGGAGCTGATCTATGATGAGAAGACTGGAGAGCTGCTCACCGACCGCAGCTGGTACTACAAGGTACCTCTCACCAAGGACATACCAATCGACTTCAGAATACAGCTCAGGAGGAACTCTTACAACCCCATCGGGACTTTGGGTGCAAGGGGTAAGGTCCATAATGCTATAACAATACAGATAAACACCATGACTTATTGGTTACTTATTGTAATAAACTTTAATTACATATTGCAGCGGTAGCGGAGCCCCCCACGTGCCTGTCTATTTGCGTAGCTTTCGCTTTGAGAGAAGCCATTGTGTCATCGAGGGAAAACACAGGCTATCCCAGAAACAAATGGTTCAGAGTAGGTAAGTAGATTATTGAACTATGAGATCTGATATAGCTTTTTTGTTGTCACTGGTTCAGCGTTCTTAGTTCGTATATTATTTGTAAGGTGTATTTTATTACCTTACTTATTTTACGTATTCGTTTTTTTAATAAACTAGCTTCTACCCGCGACTTCGTACGCGTACCATCCCATTTTTTCCCGTCCCCGTTCGTGATTTTCGGAAAAAAGTAAAAAAAAAATTGGTTAAAAAGTATCCTATGTCGGTCTCCTGGCTCTAAGCTACCTCCCTACCAATTTTCAGCCAAATCTATTCTGCCATTCTTGAGGTATAAGTGGTGTAACTAACACGACTTTCTTATATATATATAATATAGATTGAGACGTTGTTAGTCAGATATTCAATTATTTATATATCGATATAATGATAAACTATTATTAGAGGCGAACTTTTGTTCAATAGTATAATTGGTGTCTTTTAATTTCAGACGGCCCCTTCACATTGGCTGCTAATGTGCTATCCGCAGATGTCAAGCTTGAAGAGTTCTTATTTTATTAATTTATTAGTTTATCAATCAACAGATAACTTTTTACCTTAGCCTTACGCACTAGCGGTTGACCGCCTCGGCGGTTCGTATCAACAGACGCGGTTGTTATACCGGTATTTTTATTTTATTAAGGGGGAAAATCATGGGTGAGGCGGGAGGGAGTGTCAGACTCTCACTGACTAAAAATAACCCCGTTCCTACTCCTGCACTTCGAGCTGGAGCCCCGGCAACCTATTAAGTCCTGCCATAGCAGTTGCATATTTTTGAAAAGCGTTCAATGGCAGGGAGTGGCTAGCCGCGCGGATTACTGCTAGTGCGTACGGGGGCTTAATGTATCTTGTAATGTATATGTATGTATTTGTATCTGTCTTGTAATATATCTGTGCATATTGTACACATAAAACTCTTCTCTGTTATTGTGTAGACTGGTGAAAGTTAGTAATCTGTTTTAGGTTTTTAAATTAAACATTATTTTGTTTTTTAATAATACTATTGAAAAGGAGTATCCATAGAGTTTCTTGCTCTTTGTTTCACATAGGAATCTACATTTTGAAACGAGCCAAAGTCAGTAGAAAAAGATGTTGTTGACGAAATTATTATTGCCCGGGATGGACTCTTGTCAGGAGAATCTGTCTTCTACCTTTAAAGAATACAGATTCCCAACTAGGTCGAGTTGGGAATCTGTATTCTTTAAAGGTAGAAGAAAATTTAGATTGGTATAAAAGGTATGTCGAGTGCATAACCGCCCTTTTTGTTCGAGATTTATCAGACCATCAATAGGTTTGTCCTGGTAAACAATATTTCTTTGTTAATTTGAAGTTTCAATACATTTGTTACATTTATCCAGTCGTTCAAATTACATTTTTCTTACAGTTTGCCGTTGTATTTTTCTTTTTAAAACATAAGTTTTCACTTGATTTTATAAAATACTAGCTTCTGCCCACGACTTCGTACGCGCAATCCCGTTTTCTCCCGTTCCCATAAGATTTTCAGGATTTTTTTTTCTATCATAAGAACCTTATCCGGGCAATAACAAATACAACAAAAAAAATCAGCCAAATCGGTCCAGCCATTCTCAAGTTTTGGCGCGACAACGGGAAACGGGTTTCATTTTTACCGATTTAAAAAAAAAGGAGGAGGTACTATGTTCGGCTGATTGTTTTTTTTTTGTTTATATATATAGATAAATGGTACAATGCAACCTGAATCGAATTAATTTGTTTTATAAGCGTCACGGTTTTTTAATAAACATAATTATATTACATACGGGTACATATCAAGCTATGCAAAAAGAACATAAACTGGTCGTTGAATGTGCGCAATGATCATCACAGAGGAAGACCACGATAAACGATAAACTGGTTTTATACAAATAGCCGCATGTACACTTAAAACTAGATATTTATTCAAACCAGTTGATATAAAAAAGTTGCAAATGACGCTGAAGATCAACTTGACGTAAGAAATAATTTATACCTCCGTCATTCATTATTGTCCGAAAAAATCCGGATACTTAAATACCTTACAATTAAGCGAATGACGTATCTTTAAAGTTTTTACGTACGATATACAATTGGCGATGCAAAGATTATCTGCGCGCCTCTAGCGGCAAAATTTAGAAGTTATCTAAGAACGACACTGCTTTCGAGTTGAGGTTACTAAGTACATAATCAAATAGATCACGATTAAATACAGAAACCTGTTTTGAATATAAATATTGTTGCGTTCCTCAAAGTAATACTTATGGCGATTCGGGAAAAAGTTTTCATTTATTTCCAAAATACAAAATTATGAATCAAATAAACGTTCTTCCTGTATCAAAGAGAAAGATTAGCTGTAAAGCAATTAACCCTCTTAGATTTACTCAGCAGTTTATTTATTTCTTTACTGTATTTTTTTTATATCATAAGCCGGTAAAATAACAGACGGATCACCTGATGGTAAGCAATCGGCGTCGCCCATGGACACCTGGAACACCAGAGGCGTTACAAGTGCGTTTTTCTTTATTTACTTTTACGGGTATTCATTCATTTAAACTTTTAGAAACATTGGTGACTTGTGTTCGTGAATGGGCATTAAATGTTTCAACAAACAGGAAAATGTTAACTGTGAGAGACAGAGTTATTTTGACAATGGTAAAAATTTAAATATGTCATAAAAAAACAAAATATGTCATTTAGAGTCATTGGTATTTTGTTTGATATAAATAGGCAGACTTCGACACTGGCAGTATAGTCGACAACATCGTGTTGGAGACTCGGTTGCCAAAGGAGAAAAAAAAATAGGCAGACATGTTCTAATTATTTTAATAATATATGCCCCATGCTGAGTAGGGTACTCAAAGTTGTTATCCCTTGGCCTGATACCGAAATGATACGTAGTAACTTACCTAAATCATTCCAAAAATATAAAAATACAAGAATAAAAAAATATTAGACTGTGCTGAGACTGTAATTGAAAAATCTACATGTTATAAAATGTAGAATATTGACGTATTCTCAATATAAAAAAACAATAATACAGCGAAGTTGAATATTGGAATAACTCCTTCCTGCTTAAACTGAAATAAGTACATCTTATGGTGGTCGTGCAATAGATAAACATATTGTAAGTATAGTTATAGAATGTATACATAGTTGAGGATATTAATTGATTAATTTTGCAATTTACTTAAATATTTGTATACAAGAAACCACATAAATCTGATTTATATTTAATAAATGAATTTTTCTGAGACGTAAGTTATATATGAAAACTGTCAGTGTCGTTCTTAGACAGCTTCACAATTATGACACTAGTGGCGCTAGTTAGAATCTTTGTATCGCCAATAGATGCTTTTTTTTTTTTGTAAGGGGGAAAATCATCGAATGACTGCTCCCGCCTGGGTGAGGCGGAAGGGAGTGTCAGACTCTTACTGACTAAAAACCACCCCGTTCCTTCTCCTGCACGTCGAGCCGGAGCCCCGGTTACCCGTTAGGTTCTCCGCGACTCCGAATCGGCATCGGCCCTATTGGGCCCCATCTGTGGTGGTCTAATGGCTCTTTGAGGCGCGCGCGGAACGCGACGCGCCGTACGCTCGGGTCTGTTTCTGGTCGGACGGGGAGCCACCCATGCTCGCCGTCCGCAGGCCCGCGCTTACGGTGGCCGGAGATCGTCCCGCGATCCCCGACGCCCGGTGTGTCCTTCGCGATGGCTGGGTTGCGAGGAGGCAGCGCTTCGCTGCCTCACGCGTCCCGCCTCCTCCTTAGCTAGCATGACTGCTTCGCAAAAGGAGGAGACGGCATCCCAGTCCCCTTCGCTCCGCATCATGGCCTGCACTAGGCCCGGACGCGAGAGGTCGCCATCGCCGATCACTTCCCTGAGGGCACGGCGGTGCTCAGCCCACGCAGGGCATTCTCCCACTGTGTGTTCCACCGTGTCCTCAGGGCGGTCCTCGCAGTGATGACACCCGGGCGTTTCCTCCCGCCCCATCAGACACAGGTACCTCCCGAAACTTCCATGTCCGGTGAGGACCTGCGTCAGGCGGTAGGTGAGGACGCCGTAGCGTCTCTCAAGCCACTCCTCAAAGAGGGGACTTACCGCTGCAATGGCAGCGAGCCCAGCCCTCGGTTGCGACAGTCGTTGCTGCCATTCCGCCATGAGATCGCGCCGGAGCTCATCCCGCCACGCACTTATCTGGCGCGGCAGCGGAGTTTCGCCCCGGCGACGTGCCTCCGCGCGCATGTTATACACGCGCGCGAGCACCTTCGCCTCCAGATCCCACGCCAATAGATGCTTAACTGGTTTAAAATGTTTTTATTTATACATATTATGTTATGACGCAGACATCAAGAATGTAGATTTTAAAGGTCACCGAATTTTTGATTTATTTGACCACAATCTACTTGAAAATTTCCCAGAAGGTAAGGGGATACAAAACAACGTATTATTTAACCTTTTACTAATAAGTATTTATGCATATATTATTTTTATCTCTTTCGGTCGTCATTTTTTGTTTGTTTATTTAGGGGGTATGATCATCTAATGACTTTTCCCGCCCGGGTGAGGCAGAGGGAGTGCCAGACTCTTATTGACTAAAAGCCGTTCCTACTTCTGCACTTCGAGCCGGAGCCCCGACAACACGGTAAATCCTCCGCGGCTCCGTAAAGGCATCAGCCTTATTGGGCCCCATCTGTGGTGGTCTGAAAGATCTTGCGTGGATTGCGATGCCCTGGTTCGATGAACGGACGGCCGACGGCTTGGTTCTGATCGGGTGGCGAGCTACCTATGCCCGCCGTCCGCAGGCCCTGTCAGTCGTCCGGACACATTTTAATGTGACGACTGACAACACCTTGGAATGAGCAAATAGCTTCACTTTTAATTTTATTTATTGACGTTTAAAAGTGCCTTTCTGGTCTAATTGCAATAAATGAGTTTTGACTAGTAAAAAAAATACGTACGTAAATAGTTGTGCTAAAGTGTAAAGTGTAGACCTACTGAGGTATAATGAATATTGGCTGGTGTCCACTGCTGATAATCAATGTTAACTATCTGCTCTGATTTGACTGTCGACACGCTAATCAGAGAATTAGAGTAATAAAACAAATCAAAAGTAAAATAGCCTTACATTTCCCGAGTTTACAATGACATGAAAAAATTAATTTGAAAAAATATTTCTAAGAGCTATCTCAAATCTCTGAGGTCGAATGTCCTCTTAAAAGAAACCACCTTACTTGCCATCTTGGTCTTTTTTTTTAATTCCAGCCGACTTGCTTGAGTTAGATGCAAGATATTGTCCTTCCAGCAGGTGTTTGGTCTTTGTCAACTTCACCATCATTTTTTCAATCCCATTTAGCACGCCTACCAACAGGCAAGCTGTGCCTGGCCTTAAAGACACCCATTGTGTTCATTCCAACCAATAAGTAAACTAACAAGAGCACTGAAAATTTTACACAGAGTATAATTGTTTATAGACTGCCTCGATGGCCGTCTATAAACAAATATATGTTATATTATAATTGTTTATATACCTACATGAAGTAAATAACATGTGTACGTGTGCTGTATTTTACAACAGATTAGAATACATTTATCACCAATTCTACGCCTCCAACGATGATAACAATGATTTTACGATTAATAAAACAAGAACTCTTCTAGCTTCGCGTCTGCAGACAGGACGTTGGCAGCCAGGGTGTATGGACCGTCTGGAATAAAAAAAAAATATTTTATATTACATTAAATTAACATTTCACTCTTTGCTAATAACAGCAAAACAAAATTCGCGAGAGAAATATAATTATTATACGCCCGAATACTGAAATGCTACTCAATTTTAAGTTGCACTTATATATCATGCCATCTCTGTCATTTTACAAAGAATTTGTAGGGACATTTTTTTAAGGGGGGAAAATCATCGAATGACTCGCTCCCGCCTGGGTGAGGCGGAGGTGTCAGACTCTTACTAACTAAAAATCACCCCGTTCCTTCTCCCGTATGTCGAGTCGGAGTCCCGGTAACCCGTTAGGTTCTCCGCGAAGAACTATACTTAAGTACGTGAGAGTCAAATTGGCGGTTTCGACCGCGTTCCGTGGCCTATATGTTATTCCTAACCATAATTTATCTTTGTTCCAAATTTCAAACCGATACTTTCAACCATTTTGACGTAAAAGAGTAACAAACACAAACACACACACACACACACACACATATCCTCACAAACTTTCGCATTTATAATATTAGTAGGATAGTAGGAAGTAGAATTAACTATAAAAAATTTCAGCACCTATTGTTGGCATCATAGTAGGGAACTTAACATAACATAACATCACGCCTTTTATCCTCGAAGGGGTAGGCAGAGGTGCACATTATACCACTGTACAATGTAACACCCACTTTTCACTATTTATGTTATGAGTCCCATGTAATAGGGGGTGAGCCTATTGCCATATACCGGGCACAGTTCCAGACTCCGTGCTACTTCTGAGAATTTTTTAAAAACCCAGTAAGTAGGGAACTTAACAAATGAATAACATAAAACCTTCACTTAAAATCTCTGACACTCCAACAGTTGTTTACTTTCCTCTTACCTACTCTAAACCATTTGTTTCTGGGATATCCTGTGTTTTCCCTCGATGACACAATGGCTTCTCTCAAAGCGAAAGCTACGCTAATGGACAGGCACGTGGGGGGCTCCGCTACCGCTGCAATGTGTCATTACAGTTCAATACATTAAATCTCCAAGAAGTCATGGTGTATATCTGTATTGTTATAGCATTATGAACCTTACCCCTAGCACCCAATGTCCCGATGGGATTGTAAGAGTTCCTCCTGAGCTGTATTCTGAAGTCGATTGGTATGTCCTTGGTGAGAGGTACCTTGTAGTACCAGCTGCGGTCTGTGAGCAGCTCACCAGTCTTTTCATCATAGATCAACTCCTCGTGGGTCCAGTAGCCAACTCCCATCATGAAAGCTCCTTCGATCTAAGAAACCAATTAATCTTATTCTATCAAGCATCAGCTTCCTACTGAAATAATTTTAAACAATAAAAATATTACCTGTCCAATATCCAATTCTGGGTTTATGCTGGTACCGACATCTTCAATAATATCAACTCTTAGTATTTCATGCTCTCCGGTCAGTATATCAAGTTCTACTTCTGTCAGTGCCACTCCACCTGACCTGTATGGTACCTGATCATTAGCAGTGACTCGGTAGCTGGTTTGAAGGTTTATTCCTCTATTGAAGGCAACTTCAATTAAAACTTCCCAAGTAGGCTCATTCAAAGTGTCTCGTACAGCTGACAACCGATCCAGAAGTATCTGGCAACATTTTATAGCACCAAAACATACAGATTGAGTTGTTCTGCTACTTCCAGTAGCGAAGGTATTGGGAGTAGTTGCTGCTGTAGGTGCTTTACATCTGACTTTTTCAATTGGAATTTTCAGAGTATATGCTACAGCTTGGATAACTTTAGTGTTAATACCTTGTCCAATTTCTATACCTCCGTGGTGTATTACTACAGTTGCATCTGCATGATAGACGGTGAGCAAAACATGGTAGTCCAAAAGTATAGGAACTGGCCAATTCATGAATGCTACTCTCAGTCCACGTTTCTTCCACCTGTTTACTTTGTTATAATTCTGTACTTCTTCTTTACGTTTGTTGTATTCACCATCTCTGAGTAGCGTCTGTATCATTTCTTGCACTTCGACGTATGCTGGTTCGATATTGTTCAATCTTACCTGTACGGGGTCGCGTTCTATTTCGTATGATATCCTTTCCATTATTTGCTCTGTCATTGCTATTGTTTCTAAGGAACCTGAAATATTTGGATTGTATGAAATTTTTTTTTAACATAGGTGTCCCTGGGAACCTTATGCTAAGTCAATTTAGTGAGAAGTAACTAGTAGTACCTGGTGATCTAAGATATGTGTTGGAAGCTGTGTCTGTTACGACGCTGAATATCTTATACTGCCACCGTCTATTGTCGTAGCAGTTTCTGATTGGAGCGAGCTGCAGTGGGCTGATGGGGTCACTAACAACGTACCCATTGTCGCTGTACAAATGGTACTCCAAGTATTGAATCTCTCCAGAAGAACTGACGCCAACCTGCCAAAGGTACTTAGGTTTTACAGGTCACAGTCAATTTGGTGGACAAATATTTTATAATCAGTAACACAACATGGTCTCAAACAATATTATTAGACCTTATTTAGGGTAGATAACTAATTTTTATTTTAATGTCCGTCTGGTAGATAATTTAAAAACGATAGACACGTATTTTTTATTTTCTTACGGAAAAGAATAGTTTCGAAGATATATTGATTTGAAATATCGCATGACGTCACTGTTGAGTACAATTTATACTCTAGAATGACGTAGCTACCTTCCGTTCCTAAACTTTGATTCGTTTTATGTCAGTATTGTTTTCTTAATGCGACAAAATAAAAAAAATACGTGTGTAATATTTTGTCATTACCTAACTGACGGACTAATTAGATTTTTAATTTTTATACCCTGGCATCATCCCTATTAGGATAGTTGTCACGTATATTTATTTGTTTGTGGTGTCTACCGTAATCTTTCCATAAGTATTGACCATGATAAATATCATATAAATATATAAAAATGAATTTCCGTTCGTCTCGCTAAAACTCGGGAACGGCTGAACTGATTTCGAAAATTTTGATCTTGATACGTTCGTGGTAGTTCAGGGAAGGTTTGAAAGGCGATACCAAGATTGCTGGATCAGCTAGTATTAATTAAGAATTAGATTTTCATTCAAAAAACAACTTACTTCAAAATCTCTAGTACAAGGTAATCGTTTGCCAGTTACTCTAAAATCAGATTGCATGCTCATCACGAAGCGGCACGGTCGGTCCATGAGATGGGTGACCAGAGCGCAAGCAGCACCACTATGGTTCGGACGAGTTATTTTCATACCATACGCACCACCACATCGAGGGACAGTTACGTTTATTCTGTAATTAACAAATTAAAAAGGTAAGTACCCGCAAAATGGAGCCGCGGAAGGCCTAAGAAGTTGCCGGGGCTCTAGGTCGAAGAGCAGGAGTAGGAACGGGATGGTTTTTAGTCAGTAAGAGTCTGTTACTCCCTCTCGCCTCACCCGGGTGGGAGACGTGATTGGATGATTTTCCCCCCACAAAAAAGTACTCGCAAACTATGATAACTGTGTATAAATAACATTAGTTTGATTTATTTAAAAGATTACCTGTTTTGTGGAATATTAAGTACTTCAGAGAGGGCGACTTGATAAGAATCCAAAAACTGCGTACTAGCGTACACGTCAATACCATCTTCGCTAGGTCTGGAGACGCTAGTTTGTGACTCCATGTAGTAAGCGCACTGCGCGTAGATTTCATCAGTACCTTTGAGTACTCGCTGCACGTTCAAGCCGCGGTCTCTAGCAGGATAAATTAAATATAAAGCCACACGACTCGGTTCTCTCTCTCTAGCGTCCTTTATGGTTAAGATTGGTTTCTTTTTGTCAAGTTTATAATTAACTTTAACCAATAAAGCAGCTCTATTGGCTAGTCTTTCAGTTTCTGCAACGATCACTCCTATTGGTTGGTCGTAGTACTTAATTGTCTTTTCCACAAAAACTTCTTCAGGGAATAATTGACCAGGTACTTTTTGCGACAAGAATGAATTTTTGCCAGGAATGTCCTTGGCTGAGAAGAACGCTAATACGCCGGGTATTTTCTGTAAAAATATTTTGAAAAATGTTAAATCAGAAAATTATCCTTTTTAGATTAAAAAGTACCAATGTCTTCATACTCACCAGGGCTGGAGTAGCATCGATGCTCTCAATCTCTCCTGTTCCAATATCTGATGTCACAAAAGCACAGAATACTTCCTTGGGTTGTGTTGGCAAGTCATTACAGTACTGCGCTTCGCCTGCACATTGTACCAATGCATCAACCTTTGGCATCGGTTCGTTGACTGGCCATATTATGGGATTTGTGTCGTAGACTTCAGAGCCTTTAGACAGTGGTCTAGTCTTTCTAAAGTCTCTCGCTCCTGAACGATACCAAGGTTTGAGACGTTGTTTCGGAATAAGTACTAGTAGACTCTAAAAAGTAAAATGTTACTAATTAATGACGTCAATCAAGCAAGCTGGTGTCAACTTAGTTCAAATACTTACTTTGTAAAACAGGCCGAGGGCACATTTCTTTCTATACGCAGGTTTCATCTCGCCTGCAATCTCCTCGACTATCAGTTCACCTTCCAGTATTTTCAGTGCCTGCTGCAGCACTTCATTAGTGAATATCTTCTTCATGTGAAGGAACTTCTCGGTTTCAGTAGCATGAACGAACTTCCCCGACAGTCCACCAATCACAATCCTAGCTGATAGGACTACATCCTTCTGGTGCTCATCGAATTCATATAGGAAGGCTGCGTTCACTTGAGCATGCGCGTTTTGGGCACGAGGCATGATCTAGAATTATGTCCATTTTTAACTTCTTAAAAATATAATCAAGTTCTGAGAAATGAACTATGTTTACAATGGCGTTAACCTACCTTAAAAGACACAAACTGGTATCTATGAGAACGCGGTGGTATCTTTACATGAGCTATCACTCGTCCTGTCATGTCTATAGATAGAAATTGTTCTGGAGTTACTTCCATTACTGGTCCTTTCCCCACTAAAATATATAGGTAAAGGATAAGACTCAGTAAAAAAAGAAAAATATTAAACTGCACCCTTTAATTTTTCGATGCTCACCTATAACTAAAGTAGCTCCAATAGTTTCCAATAATAAAAATATATCTGAAGAGAATGCATTTAGACGATACTTAGTCATAAGATTTCCTGCCACAGTACCAATCTGGAAACAAAAGGGTGGCCACTCAACGTTCAAAATAATTATTGTTTTGTTACACTGAACACGATACCCTACTTACATTTCTCACAGGAATGTGGGCGACCAAATCTAAATGTTCGTAAAGTTTGAACAGATACTGAAACTCCTCGTGAGCTTTCGAGACGTTCTTGAACAGTTCCATCAGATCTGTCAGAGTTATACCAGCGCCGACGACCAGGTTCTGATCTAAATAATACCCTTTCAGTTCCTTTATTGGCTGGATGTCTATTAACACTCTCGGGTGCACCAGAACTGGAACAGCACCTGCAGAAAGAAATTGGTATTCACTTTTTTTGTTCGATAGTGTAAGATATTTTCTATGTCAATACTCTCACCTCGACCAGTATTTCCGTTGACCAGCATGTAAGACTCGTAGCCCTCGGCATCCAACACAGTGAATATATCGGCAATCTCATTCACTCTGTACCACACGTGACCGTCTTTCAGATTGATTTTCTTGATCCTAGGAGGGTCAACATCGCTCTGGCTGACCATACACCAGTTCTTATCTTTGTGACATCCCCTACAGTCACCCTTTCCTTGGCAAATCTTTAGATCTTCAATGTCTTCAATTTTCGGAGGAGGTTTGGGAGCGTCCTTGGCGAAGCTTTTGAAGGCGTCGAGTATAGGTCTGCTGCCGGTACACCTGCAGGTGTTGCTTCCGAAGGAGTTTTCAATCTCATACTGAGTTAAGTCGTAATGATTTGCTTCTAGCAGACTGAAGAAGAAGAAATCGTTATCTTGAAATCCGTTTCAAATGATAATTATTATGAAATCAAATATGACTAAATCCATCGACGAGCGCTTACCTGTACATGCTCATGACGAACCCTACGCTGCAGTACCCGCACTGGGTGCCGTTGTACTCAGCCAGGGTCTTCTGCACGGGGTGGTACCCTCGCGCTCGGTTGCCGATCCCCTCTATTGTAGTGATCTCCCAGTCTTGGCATGATGTTATTGAGACCAGGCACTGCAAACACATTCTTATAACAAATTGTACATCATAAATGTGGTGGGCCCTTCAAAATCTCGTTCTTGGTTCTGTATGTAAACGCCCGGAGAAGTAACCGATTGGGTATTGTGGTTGGTACTCACCGAGTTGACAGAGAAGGTCCTGCGGTGCGGGTCGTTGACGGTGACAGCGACGACGCATGCGCCGCAGCCGCCCTCCTTGCACATGTACTTGGTACCGCGCAGGTTCAGATGGTTGCGGATGTAGTCATTCAGGGAGGTGTCCGAGTCCACTTCGTAACCCACTGCGCTCGACGAAAATTTAAAATAAAAAAAATTGTATCTCAAGAAATAAATATCTGTCTTACATTGAGGCAATCCCAATTTGAATTTTGAATTTTTTATCAACAGAAATTAATATTGAATTTCTTGTTTAAATAACCAAAATATGTAAACGGACCCTCGATACAAACATGTAGGTACCTATTAATCACATTATAATACACGTTTGAAATATCTGTACGAGACTTTGTAAAATTTGTAAATGTATCTTAAAGTAGATCACAGAATAAGTGAACCAAATTGATTAATGTAGTTCTGTCTAAAATGTAACAAAAGATGTACTCACCGGAGCATTTTTCTTGATTCACATAAAAAGTGATCCGGTCCATAACGGGATTGTATTCAAACAACAGGTCGCTGTATTTGATATTAATTTAATATTACACAATGATAAACTGCTCTATGTTAATCGCGTTTGTGATCATTCGCATCACTTGCCACGCAATAACTACATCTGACAAGCATATTGCATGTACGTAACAATGTAAAACTGCATAATTGAAATAATGTAAGAATTATGTATATTTAACACACTCTGTTAATTTGTACATAACATGATAGTAACATAATTCCTTTAAGTGCAACTAAGAAAAATAATTATGTTATCCTACTTTGAATACGATTTGGTTAATTATACCCTTCGATAAACTACATTATACCTTATCCAAGTTCATATTCAACATTATCATTGATCAGAATACTCTTTCTGCTGAAAAAAGGTGTTATAATTATAATCAGCTTTAAAAATAACTGAAACGTCAACTTGACTAAAGCTGCCGATTGTCTTTTGTTTTATTTTTGTGTGATCAGGCTATTAGCAGACACGGTCCCACCTGTTCTATGTTTACTAATACTTAAATTTATTTAATAGTTTCAATAATTTTGATAATAATTAGATTGTATAGGCAGCAAATTATTTACATCTATCAAACTTTTGAATGCAAAGATACACCTTTTGATTGTTTACTATAGGTTTTTGGTTTCAGCTTGCACAATTATTTGGGTGAGGATCTCTTAAAACATTAAACTGCAGTAATAAGCACCAGATTGAACTATCCGGTGATTAAATTCTTTAAGCTCATTCACCCAAATCACCTACTCAAGCAGTTTTAGTTAAAACAATTTACATTAGCGCATATTATGTTTTTTCTCTGGTAGAAATCTATTCGGATATGGCCCGGTTGGGTTCGTGTTGCATGCATGTGTCTGTTTTATCTGTCGGATGTGACATCGTGTCCTATTACCATGTCCATGCTTCGGCACGAATGGGCCGTCTCGACCGGAGTGATACCACGGCCTCACAGAAAACTGACGTGAAGCAACGCTTGCGTTGTTTCGTCGTGGTAGTGAGATTACCGGACGCCCAATTACTCCCCTGTCTCACCAATCCCCGAATCCCCCACAATCCTCAAATTCCCAATTCCCAAAAGGCCAGTAACGCACTTATAACGCCTCTGGTGTTCCAGGTGTCCATGGGCGGCGCCGATTGCTTACCATCAGGGGCATCAGGTGATCCGTCTGCTCGTTAAACCCCATTGAGTGGCCGTCATAATATCTTAGGTCTACATTTCACCGGGACACCATAAGGATATAAATGTATACAGCTGTATAGAGCGTTACTCATCTGGTGTCTACTTGGTTATATAAACAACTAGCTTCTGCCCGCGACTTCGTACGCGTAATACCATTTTTTCCCGTCCCCATTCGTGATTTTCGGTAAAAAGTAAAATCAAAATTTTGGTTAAAAAGTATCCTATGTCGGTCTCCTGGCTCTAAGCTACCTCCCTACCAATTTTCAGCCAAATCTATTCTGCCATTCTTGAGTTATAAGTGGTGTAACTAACACGACTTTCTTTTATATATATAGAAGATGGGCGGCGCGACCAGTTCGGACGGTACAACGCTGATCGCGCCACCACTAATTATGCGCTTTATGGTCACTCAGCCACGCAAGGAGGTGCGACTGGTTGGGCCGCCATCTCGCCAACGCTCTTTAGAGGTGCCCCAGTGAAATATCTAACAAGCAATAAGCGCATTGGTTGCTACCTTCTAAGTATTAGTGTGTATGTATGCTGCTTATTTTTTTTTTAAATGTATCTAGGTACGGTACCTAGAGGAATGAAGGTCAGATAAGCAAGAAGTACACTGTTGTAAGATTTCTTTTCATCAAGTAACATATTACTTCTTATCCTAATACTAACACGGGATTGGTACTTAATACAAATCTTCTGAATTCCACAACGGCGAAGTTGCAAGCGGAATAATAACTCTGGTACCTGGTAAAGTGTCGAACAGTTTTGTTGTAAGTGTGTGAGACGCAATCAACCCTATATCTCCCGAAACGCCAAATTCCTAATCTTCAACTCACTCAGCCCCTAAAAGGTCGGCAAAGCACTTGTACATACGTACCCACCTAACCTACCTACCTACATATTTAGGTAGGTACTTATTCACCTCTATTTGCTAACAAGAGAGCCTGACGTAAGCAGCCAGCAGCCCTGCAGCTGTAGCCAAATGCCATTTAGCGCTTGTCTACATGTAGAATAGAAAACCAAATTATATGGAATTGACGCAAATTTTGACACCTTGTCAGTGTCATTTCCATACATTTAGTTTTCTACTCTCTCGGTAGAAAAGCGCTAAAGTGGCGTTTGGCTAAAAGCACTGATTGCTTCAGGCTGAGAGATACGACGTCACCACTGAAATCTCACTCGGATCTCGAAATTCGCAGATGTATCGTGCGTCCATAGGCGGTGCCGGTTGCTTACCATCAGGTGACCCGCTGCTTTTCTACCGGCTTATCCGATAAAAATATTTTTTATCCAGTGACACTATCAAATATTTGATTATCGATATTTAGATGTGGATAATCGATACAATGAAGAATTTCCCAATTTCTATTCACCCCTCTTCTGTCTCTATTCACCTCTCGATCCCTATTCACCCCATTTTACCGTTAAATTGTTTTAATTCTGTCCAACTATCATGCCATGTCTAATTGCACGTATTATTGTAAAATGCATATGGGGAAACTTAGTCATTACCATTATCTACCAGTCTATAAATGCTCGTTAGTCACTGACAGAATATGGTAAGAAATAAATATAACAAAGTAATGCAATAAATGGCATTATTATCGTTTTGTGGTTATCCTGTTAACCAATTAAAGTTGGGCCGCACAGTTGGCTTACAAACGTAGGACCTGACACGTCCAATGAAACGTGACAATGCTGCACAACTCGGAATAAGTGTGAGCGAGAGATTTGATAAAAATGACTTATGACAGTTCGTATGTTTGCAACAGATTTTGAAAATTTAGGTAACGAAAATTTAATATTATCTTTATATATATAATTCTGCTGTGCGTGTGTATCTCATTGAACTCCTCCTAAACGGCTTTACTTCAATGAATTTTTCTGTATGTGTTTAAGTGGCGCCCTGGATGGTTTATATTCACAAATCAGCCCGGCAGATGTCGCTGCAGTCGATTTCTAGGTTATTTAAAACTTAATATCTTGAAATATCGTAATAATATGCAGGACAACGTCTGTCGGGTACACTAGTAGGGATATAAAAAAATAAAAATAACCACGAAAATATACTTATGAAACGTTTATTGTGAGTATTTTGGTTTCTGCCAATCCTTTCTATTTACTGCTAGGTATATCAAGTTGGCACGATATATTGAGGTCCTGAGGCTCAGTGATCAACTTTCTATTTTGCAACAGCAGCACCAGAAGTAGCTGACAAGTAGTAACTTCTCACTACTAAATAGAAATAAATACACATACCTGAAAAAAAGATCATTTTCAAAGAACATTTTAGACCTTGAATTATTATTAGTAATTCGATGAGTGTCCATCTTCTCAAGAATAGAGGTATTGGTAATATAACTGAAACCCATAAAAAGAGTAAAGATAATTGAGATCTCTTCCACGCTCCGTCTTGAAGGCGCACTCGGCCGGGTTGAGTTATATGGGGCCCCCAACCCCCGAGCCCGATTCAGGAGGAATACAAAAATAAATGGAAGATCTCAAAATAACAAACAACTTTAAAGTTGGAAGTTTTAAGAAACAACATTATTTGTTTTATCGACATCTCTATATAAAAAACACACACGCAGCGATTGGCTTTGCAGACCCCACCTCAGAGTGCACGGAGAAGCGAGGTCTCTCCAATGCTTCGTCTCGAAGGAGCACTCTGGTTGTGTTATATGGAAGCGACAGACCCCTAACACCCGAACCCCATTCAGGAGGGTCTGGCAAGGGCAGCTTCTACCCTCCTTCAAAAGAAGGAGGAGGAGAGAAAAGGAGGGTTCCTTCAAAAATAGGAGAGTCCAAAAATGAAATAAAATTTTCAAGTTGGAATTTTTAATAATAACATCTACCTTTTTTTGTTGACGGTGGAAAACATCAAAAGGCGCCCTGGCTTTTTTGGGGAAAAAGACTAGGAAATGTGGCATTTTTACCTCCCTAAAACCTCCCCGGTGGCCACCATCCGCACCTAAAGGAGGCACCGAGTCCTCTTATTAGACCAACCCCGGAGCCCCCACGGTGCAATGCCTGTTATCGCACCTCCCTATGGAGACCTATGTGTCTACCTAGAGCCTCTCTGTAAAGTGCACGGCGGCATGTGACCACTGTGCAATAACATCTACCTTATCGAGATCTCAAGGTATATAGAAAGCACAAGACAAAGCGTTGTAAAATGAAAAGGAAACTCACCTATACTTAATAGATCCCACATCATAAAACCGAAGTCAGCATGTCCTGTGAGAATTCCTCCTATGAACAGCAAGATGATCACCACAATGTAGATCAGAGTATAGAGCAGGTATAGGCTCACGTAGTGGGATATATTCTACAACGGAAACAATTGATGTATTGCCCAATTTCATCATCATTACATAGTATAAAACAAAGTCGCTATCCGCCTTCTGTCTGTCCTTATATATCTTTAAAACTTAGGATTTTGATGCGGTTTTTTTAATAGATTTTTTTAAGGGGGGAAAATCATCGAATGGCTGCTCCTGCCTGGGTGAGGAGAGAGTATCAGACTCTTACTGACTAAAAACCACCCCCTGCCTTCTCCTGCACTTCGAGCCGGAGCCCCGGTAACCCGTTATGTTCTCCGAGACTCCGAATCGGCATCAGCCCTGTTGGACACCATCCGTGGTGGTCTGACGGCTCTTTGAGGCACACGCGGAACGCGAAGCTCCGTACGCTCGGGGTTTTTAATAGATAGAGTGATTCTTAAGGAAGGTTTATATGTATAATACATGCATACTGCACCCGTCTGAAACCGGGGCGGGTCGCATAGTTAGTTATATTTGTATAATGTGTACATCACTATGTATTTGGCACATGGACCGATGTCGTGGTGGCCCGCAGGTTTAAGACGCCTGCTTCTCATGCATGAGGGTGCGGGTTCGAAACCTACCAACGGCAAGTATCAATTTGACTATTTCCGAGTTATATGTACTTTCTAAGATTATTCAGACACCACTGACAAACGGTGAATGAAAACATCGTGAGGAAACCTGGGCTTATAATTTCTAATTATAAGTTTTTAATCGCCAACCCGCATTGAGCAAGCGTCGTGATTAATGCTCAAACCTCCTCCGTGTGAGAAAAAGCTTCGCTCAGCAGTGGGCATTTATAGGCTGTTGATGAGATGAGCAGTTGCAAGTTGCTAGTTGTTAGTAGATGTTGCTCCATGTGCAAAGCGCCTTAACCGGCGAAAAATGTTTACATTACAACCTTACCCGATGTAGTCCAAGCAAGCAAATTACAGCAATCGGTATATACATGATGCTGGTCACAATCACGACTATGATAACTGTCTTTGTATATGTATCAAATTCTCCCTCCTTCTTCGATATTATTGCGGTCCAATCAGCCAGTAACCAGGACAGTAAAAATATTTGAATGGTGACCAAATTGGAAAACTAAAATGTAAATAAAATAGACATTTATCTAGTTATATGTATAAGATCATATACCTAGTTTACACTTAAAAATATAAGGCAGAATTTCTTAGAACGAAAGGTCTAATATTTGACTCTGAATCTGCACGGCAGCTTAGCAACCGGCTGCCACGCAACGTATCACAGTTCTAATCCCGCTCGGAACAATTCTTTGTGTGATCCACAGATTGTTGTACCAGGTCTGGGTGTGATGTGTATGTGAACTATGTTTGTAAACGCACCCACGACACAGGAGAAAAATGCGAGGTATTGGGCAACGTCTTTTAAAAAAAATCGAAGAGTTTTGGTGTAGGTACGTACTTCAACGACATCGACGTCTTAAAATGATCAAAACTAAATATAACTACAGCAGGTTTATCTCATTTGTTAAAGTAAGTAGGTAATACGTATGCGTAAATAAGACTTACCAAGTGGAAATACGCGATAAGAACGGACCCTGTTTTAAGGTTCACGCAATAACAACATTTGGTGAATTGAAGAGCCATTTTGAGTCTGTAAAGTGAATATTTATAAATAACTGAGGCTTCACTTGCATCCGATGTTCCCCGCGGTCTGCATCGGGTTCAGGAAATCATTACCTTTGCTAAACGTCATGTTTATTTACACAGATTATTTAGAGACAGAATTAATTAATCATAACATCATATAACATCACGCCTTCTATCCTCGAAGGGGTAGGCAGAGGTGCACATTATACCACTGTACAATGTAACACCCAGTTTTCACTATTTATGTTATGAGTCCCATGTAATAGGGGGTGAGCCTATTGCCATATACCGGGCACAATTCCAGATTCCGTGCTACTACTGAGAATATTGAAAACCCCAGTAATACTTTGCCCAACCCGGGAATCGAACCCAAGACCCTTTGCCCGGCAGTCGCACTTACGACCACTAGGCCAACGAGGCAGGCAATTTATTTTTAAAAAGTTAAAGTTTGTATATAATTAAATTACAATCCATAATTAAGTTATAAGAAAACTAAAATATTTACAACTAAAAGTCAAAGATAATATTATATAAAAAAAAGGAGGAAAGCTAACTCAGCATCGAAAAAATTATCCTCATCGTAGTCGTAAACTTTGCTAAACTACATAATATAATTCTGATGACAACATGGTGCGACAAACCTGTCCATCAGTGACTGCGGTTCTCCCTCCATGATTATAAAAATATATTTATTAAAATGTTCAAATGTTCACAATAAATATATTTATTTACATTCTTCTCAAAACTCAGAAAACTGATGTCTCATTGACAGCAACAAATCAATTAGCGACAGTAGTCTTTTTTAAATACTCTCCGTATGTCACAATATTCTGACCTGTGTTATTAACAGATGTATTTTATAAGCAAGTAGGTTCAATGCTTCTGTTTGAACGAGGGTTCGTGGAATTCTCAGGCTGGAGTACTCCAGGGTATGATCATAATCATATAATCATTTATGTCATATTCCATAATCCATCTTGGTTTAGTTTAGAAAAAAACTTCTTTTATTGAGCATATTAAGGCTATCTTCTATGCGCTAACGCGAATTTTGAAAACCACCTGGGCTCTCTCTTTTCTTAAGCTCAGATACGCTACAGAGCAACCTACCTGGGATGCGTGTGCTACGGGGCACCTATTTGGGCTGATAGGGCCACAGTAGGGGCGGTACGGCGTCTAGCCTAGATTTTCTTGTGTAAGGCTTATAGGACGGTTAGCACTGAGGCTCTACCTGTGCTCGCGGCCTTACTTCCACTTGATCATGAGGTGCAGCGACGTGCTGCTATGTACAACAATGCTTGACCTAATTTGTCTACAAGCTTTTTAGCACAACGTGTTCGAAACCAAATTGGTAGATGGACGCCATTAACGAACGTCTGGGGTGAACTTATAACTGAATAGCAGTGTAAATCGAAATCTTCTATTAAGGGCCGCCACCTTTATCAGTTCTTCTCATCTGCACATGAGCGGCTGCAGAGGACATGGGTGAAGAAGAAATTTTTTCTTGGCCACAGCAACTTTAATAGCAAATTGTTCTCATTTAAACTTATTGGTTCACCATGGTGCCAATGTTCGACAGCGGAGTTGTAATACGATCAGTCCGCCCATCACATACTCTGGGAGTGTGATCATTGGCAATATGAACGTAATGCTATGTTAAATAATTTGATTGTTTCGTCTGGTGTAGATTATACAGATCTTGTGGAATCTAGAACAATTTTTTGTGCGTTTAGACGCTTCTGCCATACCTTGGACGCAAGTATAATAGCTCACACATAGGACCCACTTAGTTTGTTATTCAAATTTCCGTGGTGCTTGGCGATTGGTCTTCTCCCAGTTGTAAAGTCTCTTTTTGTGCCATTAGGATTAATTTTTTGCCTGCCTACCTCATTGGCTGAGTGGTCGCGACTGCCGGGTAGGGGGTCTCGGGTTCGATTCCCGGGTCGAACAAAGTATTACTAAGTTTTTAACAAATTCTCAGTAGTAGCACGGAGTCTGGAATTCTGCCCGGTATATGGCTATAGGCTCACCCCCTATTACATGGGACATAAATAGTGAAAAGTGGGTGTTACATTGTACAGTGGCATAATGTGCACCTCTGCCTACCCCTTCGAGGATAGAAAGCGTGATGTTATATGATGTTATGATTAATTAATTCTGTCTCCTGCAGTAATTCTCCGAGGGAAGTGGAAACTATCGTTTTTTTCTTCTCCTCTTATAATATCTTCTGATTCACTTCGTTATGGAAACCAAGACAGTTACTCATATCCCTGGGACGCGCCGGACTTCAGTGTTCCAGTGATTTCATGGTTGTATCTACTGTAGATCCTGGCTTACAGGAGTTGCAGCGGTTTAGGCTTGTGGTGGGCCTGTCCCAAAAACAAAATCCATAATCTTTCAATAATAAGGGACTATCGAGATGAGGTCGCGGGCAAAGTATTGTGGATTTATTAACGTTTTTGATAATTCTCAATATCATTTTTATCTGTTGTCTAAGAAAGACTAACTAGACTAAACCCTTCAAATGGATTCAACAAACGCTCTCCTACAACCCAGTAAGCTATTGACAGATATATGCATGTTTTGTAATATTGCTTGTCTTAAGTTCGGCGAATTTGCCGTCGTAGATAAAAAGGTCTGCAGTTAAAGCTATAGTTAGGTTTATCTTCGTGTCGGTAAAACACTGGCTCATCATCAACAGCCTATAAGTGCCCACTGCTGAGCAGAGCCTCTTCTCACACGGAGAATGTTTGAGTCAATCAATTAAACACTTAGAAGCTGAAAAGGGCTGTCGTCGAAAGTGATGCATATGAAAGGTTCTGTCGGCAGTATCCATAGGGGAAAGACCCTGTTGAGGAAAGAGAAATAAATGAATCATTCTGTCGACGAACAGTAAAGTGGCGAATCGGTTGTAGGACAATGGTAGCTGAAACATATAAATGAAATAAAAAAAAATCTTATCAAACATTTATTGTAAGTTTTTATGTTTTCTGTTAACCCGTATTATTTACTTATAACTAAATCAAGTCAGAATAACATATTGAGGTCTTGTTACGCAGTGTCGACTTTCTATTTTGGTGCAGGAGACGAAGATGCTCCCATTGACAAGTAGTAACTTCTCACTACCAAATAGAAATAAATGTATAGCACTGAAAACAAAAAGATTAATGTCATCATCATTAGACATTGGAATATTATTACTATATAGGTCAATGGTATCCATAGTAGTAGATTGTAGTAAATATGTGAGAGGCATGGAATCACTGACACATGAATTTATGTTGAATGTGTTAGATGTTGGTTGTTCTAACGAATCCCACTTCATCTGCATTCATTGCCTAATATAAGATGTTCATTAGTGATACTTTGTACAATTTAATTAATGTTATATGTAAGCAAAATTTGTCATAACGGGACTGACGTGTTCCTGAATGAAAGGTCCCTAAAATAATAGATAATAAAAAAAACATAATTGGTAATTCATTAATTTTCCAACTTCACAACAATAGAGGACGATATTATTGTGTAAACCGTTGAAGAAAATCCTCATGGCGCCCCCTTGTCTGGGATAAACGAAGGCGACTGTCGCTTTTTATTGAAAACCTTAACCTAACCCAACCCGGTTTCCTGCCTAACACTTATTGGGCATGAGGGTACAAGAACCACATAATTCTGCAGCCATTACACACAAAGTAAGTCAGCGTCTGACTTTGCAGACCTTACCCACAGGGTGCACGGAAAAGCGAGGCCTCTTCCTTGCTCGGTCTCGAAGGCACACTCTGGTTTTGTTATAAGGGGGCGACAAACCCCTAACATCCGAATTCCGTTCAGACGGACCTTGACCTTCAGAAACGGAAGAGCCCAAAATTCAGAAATAGAAGAGCCCATTAATTAAATAAAATAACATCTACTTTATCGACATCTCTAGGTACATATATAGAAAACACACGACAAAGCATTGTAACAAAAAAAGGAAACTCACGTATACTTATTATATCCCACAAAATAAAATTGGGGTCAGCATGTCCCGTGAGAACACTTAGAATGACCAGAAAGCCGATCACCGCTATGTAGATCAGAGTATAGACGAGGTATATATTCACGTAGCGTGGAATGTTCTACAACGTACAGAATTTATAAAATTACCGATAATTTGTATAAATTGTATCTATTTACGTCTACGGGTATTCATTTCTCTACGAAATAACTACAATCGACTCTCGTTCATTCAAACCTGCGATCATTCGAAGAGGTTGATAGTTTAGCAACTAAACGTAGCAACGTTAGCTATAACAGAGTACCAAGCCCGAATAGCCATCGTTGGTTCACTGAAGCCGGCCAATCAGAGCGTCGAACGCACTCGATACTATTACGTTACGATTGCGATAGTTATTCGTGCTTGGTACTCTGTAAGCAGCTTTCACAGCCGAGTAGCTTTATAAACCGATAAAATATTTAACGAGTTGCTAGTTGTAGTTCAGTAATTTGATAGTTCGGCCTGGAATATTTTCCGGGACCCTATGAAAATTGTCAATTTTGTAGATTTTGATGTGCTCTTTCCGATTTCCATTTTGCACCTTTCTATGTGCGCTGTTTGCGCCGCCATCGTGGAAAAATGGCAGCCAAAAATAGTCTTTCATACAATATCTCTTTCCTTGTGATTTTTGCGAGAAAAACGTTAATTACAAAAATTAACTACTCACAAATTTTTACAATTTATTTTTAGACAGAATTTGATATAAGTAAGTGGTTTCGCCAGAGCAGTACAAAGTACATTTTTATGAGTATTTTGGAATAAAACAATAATTTCTGCGCTACTTGAAAGTAGAGCAAGTGGCGCGTTTTTTTTAAAGTGTAGTCCTCTACTAGTCTAATGCTCATGTTATTGTGATACACACTTTAAGAATTTGCCATAATCTTCTGCTCTTAATTGTTCCTAATGAACCGCACGTAGGAAATTTCATCTAGGGCACTCATCGATATGTCATAGTCGTTATTTTTAATTGAAATACTGGTGATCTGCAAAAGCGCGTCGCAAATAATCCGGGTGAAATTTTGGTCTGCGACGTGTCTATCGTATACAAAAGTGTTTGGGGAAAACATTCCAGGTAACCCCCATATTTGCTCCTTAATGATCGAACTATTACAGCAATTGAGAACTGTTACCGTGTGTCTGACTGTATCCGCAGTACAATTAAATAACTAGTTCCCAGTTGCTGCAATAGTTGCTCAGTGCTCCATGTGCAAAGTGTAAATTAAATCTTACCCTATTTATTCCAAGTATGCCGTAAATGGAAACCACTACGTTCATAATACTGATTATAATCACAATTATGATAACTGCATCATTGAATGAATCGTCTTTTTCCTCCTGCTTTGCGATCAGTCCTTTACCAGGCACTAACAAGGTCAATAAATATAGTACGATGTTGCACGAATTGGAAAACTAAAATGGAAATAAAAGACATTCAAACTACATTATGAAGATTACTCTTAAAAATTATATTTTTATGTGGCAGAATTTATTAGATCAAATTGTCTGAAGGTGGCATATGTACAATGTACAATGGGGGGCACATCCGCCAGACCAATACTAAGTTAATGTTTGCTTGCTTCTGATGAGATCCACTCTTTAGCCCCGCTCAATGACTTTGAATTCACGAATGACAATTCCACAGGTTGGTGGGCAGTGCTAGCGTAGCCTAACCAGTGTAGACTAACATTATCAAACCCACTACTGATAAGGGATTATACATGTTGTGCTACTAAGCTGCGACGTTATTCTGTTTCTATTAGTTGAGACATTTATAGGGTATAGCTTGATGTTTATCGGTTTCAAGCAATAAAATTTTAAAATGATCAAGCGGGTCTATCTCCCATTGTACTTCAACGACTTTCTGTTTGCTCATCAAGACCTCGACGTTATAATAATCAAATGAAATATGCACCGGAATTGCAATTATCTGCAACTTCATCAACAGCCTACAAATGCCCACTGCTGAGCAAAGCCTCTTCTCACACGGAGGAGGTTTGAGCATTAATCACCACGCTTGCTCAATGCGGGTTGGCGATTACAAACTTATAATTAGAAATTATAAGTCCAGGTTTCCTCACGATGTTTTCCTTCGTTTGTCAGTGGTGTCTAGATAATCTTAGAAAGTACATATAACTCTGAAAAAGCCACATTGGTACTTGCCGTTGGTAGGTTTCGAACCCGCATGCATGAGAAGCGGGCGTCTTAAAGCTCCGGGCCACCACGTGAAACTTAACATGTACATAACAAGTAACATATACTTGGGGAGTGTAGATGAGGACTAAGAAAATATTAAATTCCTACGGCAACAGTAAAAACGGGGAACACCTATTTGCCGTACTAAGTGGCTGGCAAAAGCGGGTTCGTAATTCAGGACTTACCAAGTTATAATACAAAATGATCAAGGACCCATTCTTAAGATCCATGCAAAAGCAACATTTGGTCAATATAAGAGCCTTTTTGAAACTGTAAAGAAGATTTTATATTATTAACTAACGCTCTACTTGCATCCGATGGTCTCCGCGGTCCGCAACGGTTACAGAACAACATTACCACCACAAATAACATATGACAAACCTCTCCATTTGTGGTTGTTGTCGCTCCTTGAATTTAAAAATATGTTTATTAAAATGGCGAATAAATATTAAAATGTTTACAATAAATATATTTGTTTACATTCTTCTCAAAAATCAGAAAACTGATGTCTTAATGACAACAACAATGACAGTAGCTTTTTTATAAACTCTATGTTAATCACAATCTGTAGTCTCGATGGTAACAATATTCTGCGGTTCTAGCCCAATGCCTTCTACCATGCTTCTACCAGCGTGTCTACTTAGATTTATCTAGGTTTGCTTACAAACTATGTAATATAATTTTGTCAAAATTCTACTATTACATTTGCAGATTTGTGATTACAATTTAGAAAGCAAATGCCAAATATGGGCTTTTAGTCAATTGAAACCTTTTGTGCATAAGCTTCACCGACCGAAGTGACCAAACATGGGGTGAGAGGAATATGCAAGTGGCAACCTCACCTTTTCAGAGGGCTTCACCGCTTATGGCTTGACCGCGTCCAGCGGTCAGATTGGTTGGTACATTGCAACCGGCCAATCAGTGCGCCGAACACGGTCTCATTTCGATTACTTTAAACGTAGAACAAACTCATACCAGGTTTGAAACCCATGTTTCAAATTGAAAAATTGTTTTTACCGCTTGAAAATTCTGTACAGAATGCGTGCATATCTCAATGTTTTTATTACTTACACTGTTACACCTGTATTGTCTTTTTATATTTTATTTATGCTGCATCGTGCCTGGTGATGAATAAATGTTTTTCTTTCTTTCTACTAAGGCCTCAGACACGGTGTCATAACAAATTATGAGTGTCAAAGCGTCCAGGGCGGACGCGGCTAAAATGACATCTTATGAACGTTATAACAGATTAACGGTTTTTTTTGAGGGGGAAAATTCTCCCGCCTGGGTGAGGCGAGAGGGAGTGTCAGACTCTTACTGACTAATGACCACCCCGTTCCAACTCCTGCACTTCGAGCCTGAACCCCGGCAACCCGTTAAATCTTCCGCGGCTCCGTTGGTAAAACAGCTTCGGTTAAACAGCGTCTGACTGCACGGTTGGTGCGGTGGCTGGGCAACCGGCTGCCGTGCAATGTGTCGCGGGTTCGATTCCCGCACGGGACAACACTTTGTGTGATCCACAAATTGTTGTTTCGGGTCTGGATGTCATTGTGTATGTGAACTTGTATGTTTGTAAACGCACCCACGACACAGGAGACAATCCTAGTGTGGGGCAACGTTTTATTAAAAAAAGAAAAAAAAAAGAAGGTAGTAGTCAAAGTATTTTCTGGTTGTCATAATATTATCTCATTTAATAATCTACTCATATTGGTACTTATTATTCGTTCTACTATAGAATAAAACTAAAAAAAAACAACAAAATAATTGAAAGTGTTTAATATCTGATATATAAATCACTTAACAAATCTAATTAAACATTCAAGCACAATATTTTAAATTTGTTACGTAGACATTCAGTAACCTATCTAAAGTTATGAAAGTATGACATTTTTTAGGTTTACTTAGATGAAAGTACAAAATACACCGAGAAACCTCGAGAATAAGGCCTGTATTAGGTATAAAACGATACTCAAACTTGATCTCTGCTCAAACAGAGCGGGAAAGAGATGCATGTATCTGTTGGTATTTGCATCCCTTTTTTACCGTACTTGTGAAGAGATCTCGACTTGAGTGACGTGAGTGGTACGTATATAAGTATTCCAAAATAGGTACCATAGGTCTTGTATTATAAGGCACTACGATAATTTTATAGCATAATTGTAAGTTTTTGAAAAATGCGAATTACTTACCTATTTAGGTATATTATGTACCTAAGCTTATGTGTACATATTTAACAAAAAGCTCATTAAAATACACCATAAGAGAGATTCCTGAAACAGTACGCAACGTTTCGTAATAATAATTTTATATTAAAACACTTAAACTATTACCTAATGAGGTAAATGCAACAAAGTGAGGTTTTCTCTGTAATAAATGTTTTAATTATATTTGTTACATGGCACTTCAGTTTTAATAGTTAACGTAGCTTTTTTACCTCCCTGTAGCTTTTTGTTAAAACAGGGAAAAAAACTAATGATAACTAGTATTCAAAATAAAAAGATGTTGAATAACACATTTATATAGTGAAAATGAAGGAAAAAATAAGTACCTAGGTAATTTCTTGTTTTGCATTGTTTTATTAAAAACGACTGTCGTTTAAATGTTAAATATTTCTAACGAGAACTTTTCTAATTCGACAACTAGGTATAATTATATATCGGTGGTTATTCAATGTTGTTAATATATTAATAGTTTTATGAAATAGTTCACTTCTTTCTTTTTTGTTATTATTTTGTTCTATACAAAACCAGTACAACCTGTTTTGTGTTTTATTCATTCTTACATTGCGTTTCTTTTTGTAAAACTTACTTTGTGGTGTCTTTTCCAAACTCACTTCAGTGATAAGAACCAGATTTTAAAATTACAATTATAAAAAAATATGTTAAAATGATTCATATAATAAAAAGGCGGTTGAAGTTATGTTAATGAACGGTGATATAAAACTTACCTAATAAAATTGCATTTCTGTAACTACGTAATTATATAAACAATAACGTTTAACGTTAACGTTCGTAAATGTTTATTCAAAACTCTGCTATTACATCCAAAAACGTAACTGTAACTGAAAACTTAAAAAAGAACTCAAAATCTTACAACTAAATATAAGAAACTTAAATGACTTAATTATAATAACAATGTTTTTACACCGACACTTGTCATGCGCAGTATTTAGAGAAGCATACAGCCAAATAATATTCAAATAATAAAACTATATTTACGCACTTCAAATAATTGGTTGAAAGCTATTTAAATGGCCACGACTAACAACATTAAGAAACATTATATATCAAACATTTATATATCAGGCCACAATAAGATTAATGCAAATACTCAATACACAGTTTTATGAAAACAATTTTGTAAATATTTATTCAATAATTTATTCAAATGATCATTTTATGACATAAAACGGTCATTTGTTCTTCTAAATGCGATTTAGTTATTCAAAAATAATTATTCAAATTTTTAACATGTGGCTCTATGTTAACTTTTGTTTGTTAAAATATATTTATTTAGGCTGTGTTGTAAACGGCTGGTTTGTTGGAGGGGTCGTCCATCTTCAAGTAGTAGCTTCTGATTACCAACATGAAGTAAATGCTCAGAACTGAAAGGGAAAATAATATGTTTTTTATAAAAGATCACTTAAAACCACCCAGAAAGCTAGAAAAAATTATCATTGAATAAAAAGAAATATCATAGTAAGTAGAATTAGGGTGAGATTGCTATAAATATTTCTACAGATATAGTCTTCATATTCTGTTGTTAATGTAGGTAGGTAAGTATCTTCGATAATTTCTCATATTTGTCAAACGAATATACTTTTCAAAACCTATTTTTGAACCTAAACCTTTTGCCATAAAGGTCTAAATAGCATAAAGATAATTTAAACTGACTTTTACTTAAGAGGTAGTCAGCTTAAAAACAATGATACTTACGAATTGAGATCAGATCCCTGGCGACAACACCACCATTGATGTGTGAGGCAGCGAAACCAGCGAAGAACATGATGATGTACAGCACCAGGAAGATCACGGTGTAGATCAGGTACGCCTTCACGTGACCGCGCTTGTGCTGGAATTAGGAAATTCACATATTTTAAAATTTAAATTCACATTTGTCATTAAGTCTATTTTTCCAAATAGTGACGTAATAACTGCCTCGTTGGCCGAGTGGTCGCAAATGTGACTGCTGGGCAAGGGGTCTTGGGTTCGATTCCCGGGTGGAGCAAAGCATTACTAGGTTTTTTTTAAATCTCACTAGTAGCACGGAGAACCTAGAATTGGGACCGGTATAGGGCAATAGGCTCACCCCCTATTACATAGGACACATAACATACATAGTGAAAAGTGCCGTAATGTGCACCTCTGCATACCCCTTTGGGGATAAAAGGCGTGATGTTATGTTATGTTATGATGTAATAAGAGTCTATTTTATAAATCCCCTTTCTACCTTTGAAGAACCTTGTGTTTACAGTTGGGAGTGAAACGATTCTAGGTTTATGCACATATTGTGATAAACATACAAAAACTACTGATGACACTTCAGAAGTGGTGATTACGATTCAAAGTAGAGAGAAGAAATAGAGAGTTAAAAAACAATAATCTTTAAAATTACCTTATGCAGACCAACAAGAAGTACAATGGAGAATGCGAGGAACAGGATAAAGAAGATGAGCATGATGCCGATGACCGCCAGCATGACGGCGCCCAAGGCCTGTGCGCCATTCTCCTTGTCGCCCTCCGCAGTCACCACGCCAGCTGCTGCCAGACCGATGATCGACATCAGAATGGCTATTATATTACCGATCTGAAAAATACAATTCATAATTAGTATTATATACTAACTGCACGGTTGGTGCAGTGGCTGATTCCCGCACGGAACAACTCTTTGTATAACCACAGATTATTGTACCGGGTCTGGGTGTCATGTGTATGTGAACTTGTTTGTTTGAAAACGCACCCACGACACAGGAGAAAATCCTAAAACGGGGTAACGTCTAATTTATAAAAAAGGGTGTGGCAGTAATGGTGTATTATGGAAAATATTACACGAACTTCATGAAAGTCAAGTCAAAATCATTTACTTCAATTAGACCAAGAAGGCACTTTTGAACGTCAACAACAATAAAAGTTTAAAATGAAGCTATTTGCTCATTCCATGGAGAAGAACGAGCAAGAAACTCCGTATGTTATTCTTTTACAAGAGAAGATATTAAATGTAGTTCATTCTTGTACTGCATTTTATTAATTTGCTTGTGGTCTAGACATTGCAAGCGGTTCAGAATGTAAATATAATTTTTTAAAAAGCATTACAAGTTTTAATGGTCATATATAATTATGCGCAGTGATGGCACTGCTGAAGATTTTTTAATTACTTTTCTGAAGGCTTTTTATTTGGTAGAAAAGTATGTTTGTAAACGCACCCAGGACACAGAGGAAATTCTCAATGCAGGGCAATTAAATAAAAAAGTATGATGAATATAAATAAAGATCCTTACCAGGTTCAAGTACCCGATGATCAGGCATCCTGTCCTCAGCTCTATGCAGAAGCAGCACTTGTCGAATACGAAAGTCATTTTTTATCTGTAACAAAATAAACAACTTTGAAATTATGTTGCAAATAAGAAACTACCCGTTAAAAACCCTTTAACACTTTGCCCGATCAGGGAATCGAACCCGGGACGCCTTGCCCTTCAGTCGCACTTGCTACCACTTGGTCAACGAGGCCAAAGAGTTACAGTTGGACCTATATTGTTATATCTTAGTTATCTATTCGTTTGTCCTAGTAACAAATAATATATCAAGCTCTATTATCTAAGCCTATACCATTTATTACTAAATATTCTGTCTGTTCTCGATAATCGTACTATTCAATCATTTGTTCCTCTATTTCCATAGAAGCATTTTTACTACAACGGAAATATTTATACAAAGTTCAGTAGTTACATAATTAAACAGATGTCTTGATACCATCGTCTATAAAACCCAAGGCCCCTCTAATAGCACTCCCATGAGAAGCCCATGGTACTCAGATGATGAAGTTGGGGCTATTAATAGACTTTACAGCCACGAGGAATGTGGCCAGCGCCATCTTTTAGCTTTGAGTTGATATAGACGTAATAATTCGATGCTAATGTGGGAAATACACTTGGGAGGAAAGAAACGCAAGCCATTATAGTTTTTTTTCTATTTTATCGAACCCTCTGGGTATAACTTAAAAAAATCCTTTTACAACAAAAATGCTGTTATTTTAAAGGTAACTAAATTGCTATTCATACGACATACGTTACCAATTAATGAAATATTTGTATCCAGAAAATATTCATCAAGAGATGAAAAAGAAGGAAAAGCCAGTGGCTTCGTTTCTTTGCTTCAAGTGTTGATTTGATAATGATAATGGACTGCAGGGCTAAAAATTAATCAGAACGTATATTAATTACGTTTATTTAACTTTGGGGGGGCTGGTACATAATCTGATGTTTAATCATCAATCATCAATGTATGATGTATACTAATATTATCTATTAGTTAATATTATGCTGTCCTAGAAGTAAGGTAAGCTAAGTCTAACATCAAATATACATAAGAAATGCTACTACATTTTAGGTAAATACAAAACTATATACTGTATATTTTATGAAAAGAAAAGCCATATTCTAAACTGAATCTCTCTAGATGATAACGTTTGCTGTTGTCATTTGATATTAGTTTCAAAATATGTATTAACGTTGTACTACATATTAAAAAAATTGTATAAATTGTGTCGAACGAGAAACATACACTACTGAATCAAAACAAGCAATCTAAGCTTTGACCTCAAAGACATAAAAACGTGACTACAGACAATCTATCACGTGTAGAATTATCAACACTCCTACAATGAAAATAAGTTCAAAAATAGATTGAAATAAAAACAGAATTGCGTTTTATCTACTCGCCAATGTTAAAAGTTGCTCCTCCGTTCCCACTCGATGATCTCATCTGACATTGAACAGTAAAATAATCCATGTACATATATTACGACCAAAATGGCGCCTCAAAAATGTGCTGTCTTAACTCTCACAATTGATTCCTTTAATAAGAACCTAGGAATGTTATTTCAATTAAGTCTATTAGGCCATGGACCACTTTAAAAGAGGTTATAGAACTTTTTTTCCCGCGAATCAATTTATCCTTTTAATCCTGTCTTATTAGTTGGATAGGGACGGCAATTAAGAAGCATAATTTTAATTTCCTTGTTAATGAAAGTGTGTGGAAGAAGCTTAGAGAATTTATGATGTGACATGAATTTTAATTTGGTGGTATGTGCAGAACTTACGAACAATTTTAGACAATTATATGATTTGAATTTTGAATTGCAAAATCTATTAGGTCGGTTAATTTAAAATGAGTAACATACAGATGTTAGACATGACGTTTTTCAAAAGAAAATGAATTTGTTAAGTAATAAAATATACCACCTATAGAGTAATCAGACCACATTCAGTTATATCGCAGTTTATGGCCATTTTTCGCTGACCTAGTAACTCAAGTACTCGTGTCCAACTAGGCAAACACTAGACGCAAAATATGTACATTATAATGGATCCTTTTTTATACTTGTTTGTCATGACGTAATCGACGTCCATGTTGTATTGAGGGCGCGCCCTAACGAAGCTGGAACATAATTCGTAGCCCACGTAGTTAATATAGGACTGTATTTCGTTTCTGTAGGCTGTTAGTGCCATTTTAATAATGCCTAAAGGTGTGGGAAGGTCTAATTATCATTATTGTTGGCTTGTAGACACTGAGATATACTGTAGTCTAGATTTTAGTATTCTAAAATCTCAGTCTTATTACATAATCTTATTATGTAGCCTGTGTTATTACAACAGACTCCCTTTTTACCTCGTGATTTGGATGATAGTTATTGGTACAAACTAATTATTATATACTAGCGACCCGCCCCGGCTTCGCACGGGTGCAATATGCATATTATGCATATAAACGTTCCTTAAGAATCACTCTATCTATTAAAAAAAACCGCATCAAAATCCATTGCGTAGTTTTAAAGATCTAAGCATACATAAGGACAGTCAGACGGCGGATAGCGACTTTGTTTTATACTAAGTAAGTATGAGGCATAAGATTTAATTTGCTAAAAAGTACTTTAGCCCTAACGACTCCAAGTATTTCTCGTGGGTTTATTGACCTCTGACAATTTATTACATTTGAAGTAGTAAGTAGAATTGCACTCAATAGATAGAGATTCGTCCTGTCTTACACAGGACTAAATAATAAATTGGCATGAAGATCGTGGTCCAATTTTCCTTTTTGAGAAATATAGTTTTGCAACTATGGATGATCAGATGTCAGTGCAACCCTCATGTGCATTATTGGGTAAACATATATCTGGACTCGCATAACTGGACTTAAATTTCGCAGTACCAACGAGCATGCATAAAAAACTGATGACTGTTGATGAAGCGAAAGAGATATGAAAGAATCGTAGCAATCAATTGGCGTTCCAAAGTAGAGACTGTGGAACTCACGCCTGTCTCCCATAAAGGTAGGCAGAGGTCTACCCCATGGGACACAGGCGTGAGTTTGTGTATGTATTCTATCGCAGCTTAAAAGGTTCAGGTTTGTCGCGGAGAACCTAACGGGTAACCGGGGCTCCGGCTCGGCGTGCAGGAAAAGGAACGGGGTGGTTTTTAGTCAGTAAGAGTCTGACACTCCCTTCCACCTCACCCAGGCGGGAGCAGTCATTTGATGATTTTCCCCTTTTAAAAAAAAAGTTCAGGTTTATCAAAAAGTGCTGCTGCCTTGTCTTTATCAATTGTTGAGTCCCTTAATCGGGTATTCCTGCTTATACACACATAACCTAACGCCTGCTTCCCATGGGGTTAGGCAGAGACTATGGAACCCAGTTGCTACGATTACTTATATACCTCTATCGCTCCATCAACAGTAATAAGTCTTACACACGACATAATTAGGGTCTAACATCTGTGGGGAGAGTACTTAATAGTGGTAGATGACAAATATATTCCATACTGCTGTCATATCAAATATTTACCCTCATAGCAATAGCTGGCTGATTTTCCACCAGTTGAGTGGTAAAACCTTGATCATTTCTAAAGATAAATTCAAAATTGATTCTCCGATCGAGTTCGAAATGAAATCTTTAACGAGGTTTCCTCTCGCATCCGATGCCGTGTTTAAACAAAAAAACTTGGAACAAATCCAAATACATGTTCGTAAAAATATAAGTTTCTGTAGTTGAGTCATGTGTTTTTATATAGAATATTTTTGATAAGACTGGTGTACTGGATAGATAGGTATCGGCATGTGTGGCTAATGCGGCTCGATTTGAGTGCAGCCACAAAATTGTTTAAATCAAAACCACCATCTATTAAACTTTGTTTTATTGCATTCACATCCCACTGCTTGTTTAAAGTTATTTTATTGCATCAATAGGCTCACCCCCTATTACATGGGACTCATAACATAAATAGTGAAAAGTGGGTGTTACTTCTATGTGCACCTCTGCCTACCCCTTCGGGGATAAAAGGCGTGATGTTATGTGTATGTGTATTGCATCTTTATGTTTGACGGCAAAAATCTCAAAAACTTTTGTACGGATTTTGATACGATTATTAGATACTATTGATAGAATAATAATTAATATAAATTTTATTTGAATAAATGAGTTTATTTACAGAAAAAAAATTGATAGAATGATTTGAAGCTGAAAAAGATATATTTTGGAGTGAAATTTATTACCTACAATAGAAATGCAATATTATTCATATTATATTCATATTCATAGCTTTATTTGCATTCCATAATGTTTCTTAATAATCTCTACCATGTTTACAAACCACCTTGATGCTTTGTAAAACTAGCTTTTAATCGCGGGTCCTTGAATTAGTCCACCTGAATTTGCCTTTGTCATTCCCCAATTATAAAGTAAAAACTTCATCATGATCACCACAGTACTTTGAACTTGTTTTTGCTATGAACCAGGAGTGTTTTATGATTAATTCCTTTTACGCAAAAGTGTAGTACTTATAACATCTTAACTATAGTTTATTTATTGATACTGCCGGTTCGCTATAAATAATGAAGATTTCAGCATTCCTCAACGTAAGCCGACGAGTTGAGTGAAAACATCTGTTTTTCATGAATATTGCGAGAATTCTTTGTATAAAGATTGCATGGCAATGTCCTAGCTTTTGTATTAACTAAAAATCGTAGGGTTCTTCCTTATGAGCATCGTGAGCGGGCGCGGTGATGTCGTGCAGCCTACTGTCAAGGCTTTGTGATATGGTTCGAAACCAGTAGAGCTTTTCTCAGTATATTCACGTGAGTAACCTGCGATTTTTAGTTAACTTAGTATGTCTCACGATAGCTTTTGTATTGGTTTTATGTTATCTTACTAATATTATAAATATAAAAGTTTGTAATGTTGTGTGTATTTGTTACTGAAACACGTCAAAACGGCTGAAATGATTGGGAAGAAATTCGGAACAGGGATAGATCATGGTCTGATATAACATCCAAAGTAGGTACATTTTATCTAACGGGAATGTCGGGGAAGC